GACTAAGGAGCGAGTTGTTTAATATGTAGTTGCTTTAAGAATTGTTGTAATAAAACTTGCCCAACACAACATCAGTGTATATTTATAGAATTGAATTGATATCTTTAAGAGTATTTCTTCCTTTGGAATGGAGAAATTACAAAAAGCTATTTATCTGCATTACTTTCCTTGTCCAAATAATAATTGAGCTAAAAATTTCTCATTGCATATAACAGCAAATGGATCATGAATTGCTTTAAGAATAAGAAAAGAAAATGCTGTATCTAATTGATATGAAATTCATATCTCCCTGTGGATTTATAAGCAACTAGATTAGTACGCATGTGAGTGGTAGATTTATTGTTAAAATACATTTAGGTTTTGTTGTTGCTATCATTGAAGTAGCTCTACAGCCTGTGATGACATCTTAAGCAGCTGAAACATTTTTGGTTGATAGAATAGTTATATTATGTTAAATTTTCTCGGCAGGTACATTTTAGAGGATAACCTGGTAATATTTTGACTCCTTGTGAAGGTGAAGACAGTGTTAAATGGAGCTTTATCAATGCATTGAAAGAGGTTAGGTATGTGTATTTTTGTTAAGTTTTGTGATTAGATTTTTTTAGTGAAGTTTGTTAGAGTTGCTTCATCATTTTCATGGACATTATGCATATTCATGAAGATAGTTCTCTCATTTATTAACATTTAACAATATATTGTGTCCTTCTTCATCCCCATTTTTTCGAAACCTATTTGTGAGGCTGTCGGTTGATGAAGGAACAATCCTATCATTCACTGGTTGGGGAAGAATGGATATTATCATTCTTTGATTCACATATATATGTTTGCTTAGTCTTTACATCACCTGCTTCCTAAATGTAATGGTTTAATATTAGTTTCTCAATAGGAATTTGGAACGACCATTACATCCAAGAATGATACTTTGGAGTTTATAATATTTTAGCTATCATGAACGGATAAAATGAAAACAAGATCAAATTTGTGGGTAATTTATAATAAATGTCCAAAAATGTGCATGTTTGGGGAGTTAATAATTTAAAAGTTAAGTGATTATAAGTAGTGCGGGTTCTACTAATTGTGTGAGTAAAAAATAGGTAGTAGTTGTGGGTCCTGTAAAATGTGTGGATAAAAAGTATGTAATCACTTTCGAAACTTGCTTTATAGCTTTGAAAATTATAATTTATTGGTGTATTAATGCTTTCCAGTCTTGAAAATCTTATTTCTGTTACCAAATTTGACTTTTTATCCTCCAAAATCTGCAATTGCATACACAATCAATTATATGGGGTTTGATAATTTCTATTTTCTTATGTGCCATGCTTTCTGTTAACGCTCATTCCGGATTAGTTTGGCAAAGTTAGTGCCTAGTGGATACCTATCTTATTTGTTATAATATTTTAATTATACTCGGAAGCACAGTAATATATTGGAATATAGAAAAATTGAACGAAGGGGTTGAACCTGCAAGGACAACCAAAATTTGGAAAGTCTAATCGAATATAAGTAAATCATTATTCTAACCTATTAAGGAAAATTAAATTTGTCTGCAATATTTAGTTTGAACATATTACGCCCTCGTTTGGTGCACATTTTGAAGGTAAGAATGCATTTTTACTGTTGATGTGATAGGGAATATGTGGTTGAAAAAGAAGGAAAATTTATTGACGTGATCGAAAATATTATTTTATTGAAGAATGTGCGGTTGAAAATGAGCAGAAGAATGAGAATAAAAAAAATAATGTAGACCAAACGGGGCCTAAAGTTGGATTTTAAGTGATGGAAACCAAGATTTCATCATCCATTACTTTTTACTGCAACAATTCTCTTATTATCGATTCCTGAAATTGGAGCGAGAACTCGAAATCTATCAATTGTTAGCTCATAAATATTACAAGTAAATACTTATCAAACAATCTTATTAGGTCCTTCTTAGCATTGTTGAATAGATAACCTAAGAATTCTATGTACCAATCTGGTGAAAAGAAAAGAAAATCAAATGTTATCACATCCTAAGAATTCTAAGTCCTCATTTGAGCCCCATTTTCCCAAAATTCATTTTCAACAATACATTTTCCCAATAAAATAATTTTACACGTAAACTTAATTTTTTTCTTATTTTTTAACCACATATTCTCAAAAAAAGTTACTATTTCAAAATCTATTACCCAAAAAAATGGGGCTCAAACTAGGGCTAAATGTATCAAACTCGATAAGAAAAAGAAGAATCAAAAGGCAATCAATAAATGCGGAGCCTAGTCTAATTAAATTAATTTCTAACTATGAAAAATATATGATTTTCGTGACTATAGAAATTCTAATTTAATTATCACTTGAAACAAGAACTGTATACCTTTAAACACATGTAGTAGAACTGACACAATAAAAACAGAGATACCTTATTAAATAAGGTTTCGTCTTCAAGTTCGGCTCAAGAGAAATTAAAAAGAGTTAGTTGAATTGAAAGACATAATATAGATAGGACCAACCACGTGGAGATAAGGAGCTTGAAGAAAGCTTGAATTTATTGCCTTATTTTGCAGAGTAGGGGTTTTCTCTTTCCTTTTGCTTCATCTGCCAAGTCCTTCCATGAATCTGCTGCCCTCCAAGTTTTGATCTCCTCACGTAGGATACTATAGAACAATGATAGGAGAATGGGAAGGGGAAGAGAAGAAGAGAAATGAGGGGGAAAAGAGAGAAGGAGAGAATAGAGAGAAATTGGAGGAGAATATCAATTCATTTTATTATCAAAAGTTGTGTTTATTGCAATGCAAAAGACCCCTTTATATAAGGTTTCAAAAGATCCTATTCTAAGTAGTAAATATATAGGCCCTGTTTGGTACGCATTNAGCTCCACCTGCTAATAGAAGGTTTCCCAATATTATTGTCCAAATCACCACGAACAACCCGATCACAACCAATTCTACTCGAGTTACGACTTATTAAACCATAAGCTGCAGCTGCTTTATCCATGATCGCCGAACCTTCCAACACAACCTAGGCACCCTTGCTGACTTTCAGAACTCCACCTCCATCGGTATACATGTACCCTTTTGAATCAAGAGTACTCAAACAGATCAGATTTTTGTTTGTACTTGGAACATGTCGAATCTGGCCGTGTTCTAATCGTCCCATTCAGCATTTTGATTTTGACGTTACCAATCCAAGCTATTCCACAAGGTTCATTGCTTCTCGTTATCACGAAACCCCTTGTATCTATTTCATATGAAGAAAACCAATCCCGATTTGAACACATATGAAAAATGCAAGCTGAATTAAGAATCTAATCCTCGCTAGGCTTGGAGTCACTTTCAATAATCGCCAACAAATCTCCATCACCGTTCTCTTCTGCATGATTAACATTACTAAAATTTTCTAATTGTTTTTCTTGATCTATAGTAGCAAACCTCTTCCACCACTCATAGCAATCCCTCTTCATGTACCCCTTGTTGTTGCAATACTAACAGACTATACCGCTACTGATGTTGCTTCCCTTGACTATGCCACTTCCATGACTACCCGTCTTCCTCTCACGAACAACAAGACCCTCTCCATGAGCTTCAGAATCGACGACTAGATGCTTCATCTTCTCCTTAGAATAAAGCGCATTATATACCTCGTCAATTGTAAAAATATCTCGACTATAGAGAATAGTATCTCTAAAAGTCATATATGAAGGCGGCAACGAGCATAACAATATCAATTATAAATCCTCTTCATCATACATAACCTCCATCGATTCCAAATCAACGACGATTTCCTTGAACATCAATAGATGACCTTCCTAAGATCCACCTTCCGTCAAGCGATAAGAACACAAGCCCTACTTCAAGTGTAACTTACTTGTCAAGCTCTTTGTTATACAAAGCTACTCCAACTTCAACCACAATGCATCGGCATTTTTCTCCTTTACCACGTCCCGAAGAATTTCCTTAGAAACATGAAGATGTATCTGAGACAGGGCTTTTTGATAATTCTGTTGTTTCTCTTCCACAGTCATTGTTGTAGACATTCTATCAATCCCCAACAAAGCATCATCAAGATCCAATTGAGCAAAAATCGCTCGCATCTTAATTTGTCCACAATGAAAATCTATTGTTGCGATCCAAAAACGAAATTTCAAGTTTCAAAGTTGTCATCCATGAACAATCGACATTGTTCCAACCTCGTTTTAATAATTAATTTGGAGCTCCTAAGAAACCGTCAAAAAACCCTTGGCTCTAATACCGTTTGTTATGAACCAACCCGATATCAGGAACGTTTTGATATCACTTGTTGAGAAACCAGCCAAATAATTAAAGATAAAAAATATGGACAATATGAAATTTAATGGATCACACAACAATCAAGAAAATTGTGGAAGGGGATAATATCTACAATAAGCCTATGGAGCTACACACTAAGTGGTCCCACAATTTAATGCAATGGTTGAAACACAAGAGTTACCAAAATCTTTTTCTTATACTTCTTATGACATCTTTAGCATTAATGTGCAATTTAGTTTTCCTCTTTTTCCTCGGTTTCGCTTTTTTCCTTTCCTTTTTATAGTCCTGTGCCTTTTCTAAGTTGTCTTCACTTCTTTCCTTTCTTTGTCATTTATTTTCTTCCTTTAGTTGTTGTGATTTCTCTCTTTTTATATTTCCTTGTTGACATGGAACAAAGCTATCACATTGATTCATCAGTGAGTTAACTAACAAAAACAAGATTGAGGGAAAAATATATAATAAGATTATGCTTATTGCTTACTCGTCACCCACTTGAAATATTTCTTCCTTTGCCACAAACTGAATGCTCTAATTTCTTTAAGGCCATCAAAAATAGCATCTTGTTCTTTGGAACTGCCCTTACCAAATAAATTTTATAACCTACCAAATAAGAAAAAAGACAATCCCCATTAACACATATATTCACCATACCTTCTCCAAGAAGCCATTGAACCACTATCACCACCAAATTCCCATTTAAACTACAGCCAACAAAACTGAACACTGTAAACCCAATCTTCCAAATTGTTATCAAGACAGTCAACTCTGGGTGTTAAATATGACCAACACTATCCTTCTAGACCCCTTCTAAACAGCCCTTTAGTCAATATGTAGTTAAATATTTGTTGTCATGTGGGGACAAGTTGAGGTGCTAAGTGTTGACATTAGCTTCCCCTTTATTTGATGTGGAAGGGCCTGATTTCTGGCTTCAGCTGCGGTTTTTCACTTTTTAAGGGATGACGTTGGTTATGCAACCGAGTGCTGGTAGTCATGGTGATTCTTCTCTTTCATTTTCAGCTAATTTATGTGTGTCATTGGGAGACTGAAAGGTACCGGCATTGCCGCGCTGGAATTAGTAGTGGATTTTTCCAACCAAATAGGCAGTAGTTTGGAATGACCATATCAGGGTAGGGTAAAGCATTTAAAGCTATTATTTCAATTATCCCCCCTTAGCCCTCTATGGTGTTCGTATCAATTGGGGAGGGGCAGCTATAGTTTCAGGATATTTGAAGCTATATGGTACAGTGTGTAGCATTTTCTTTTCAATGGTGTTACATTGGTTATGATTGTGGGAAGGCTCAGTGGTTTTGGAGTTCTGATAGTGGTGAAAGGTTACTTTTTCCTGGGCTTTGGGATAAGCAGTGGTGCAGGGGATTGTTGTCTAATTATTCTTTTTCTTTCTTTCGTAAATTTGTTGCGGTGTCTTGCTTCTGGGAGGGGGCGGGGGGATCACTTGGTGAAAGAAAAGTGGAAAATCATCGAAATCAAAGACGTCTTGCCGAAACTTGTGCTAGTTCAAACGATGACACTGAAATCATGATGGACGAGCAAAAGAAAGATTAAAAACAAAGAGAAATCCTAGTATGCAATTCATTGTTGCACTGCATT